CTTTTGTAGGCTTCTAGAATTTGTTTCTCAAGAAGTTTGATACGGTTCGCGTAAGTTATAACGTCTTCCTCGTTTTTTTGATAAACGCATCCTAGTTCTCCTTGTAATTGATAAACGTTTTTAGTTCCTCCGTAAATTTGTTTTAAATATGTAGTTAAATTTGAGACTTTAACAAAATCTTGGTCCCGTATAGTTCGACGTGCTTCTCCTACGATTCTAGTTCTTAAAATTTTAGTAAATTGCGCCTCCGCTTCTTTAGGAAGGATAGATTTCGCTTCCTCGCAACCCTCAATAAAATAATTTAACGAAATATTATTGCCGTCGAAAAAGGGAACGGTGTCTACTGCGTATTTTAGAGTAGCAAAAGGGTTAGTATTGGCCATGTTTACTGATTTTACTTTCTCAGTGTCGCTGTAGGAATTGATATCAAATTTGTCAACTTCCTTAATTATAGTCCAGAGTTTGTTAGCAGAACCGGCGGAATCTAGCACGAGTAGCCCGGAAAATAAAGAGGTGTCTGTTAAATTACTTCCAGAATTTCCAAGAGAAGGATCGGCTGGTGGTGTGGATGTTGAGGGTACGAAAGGAGTGGATGTGTGTATAATTTTTTATTTCGAGATTAGGTGTCGCTGGCGTTGTTTGTTTTTAGATTTTCTGGGTGTGTATCGGCGGTTATTAGTTATGCTCTTTTATTGACGGAGCTGCCGATTTATGATTTGTTTACCGTGGATCGGCGAGTGGATTTTTGAATTTTTCAACTATACTTCCGGTTCTTTGTCGCCGGTATATTTGTTTTTAGATTTCTATGCAAGAATTTCCACTTCGCTCGGTACCAATCTTATGGATGTGTAAATATATATTTTTCTTTGTTTTTGGCGCCTTTTCCCGTCTAACAATTTATGGTATTTGCTAAGCCTTTTCCAATATTCGATTGTATCGACACATTTTTAATTTTATTATTGTATATGCGCCGCTCAATTTATTGTTTCCTGCATTTCTATCTATCTAAGAACAAACTCCGCTTTGATTGTGAGAAAGAAAAGAATCGTGAAGTACGCAGGACGTAACAATATGTTGTACATAAATTAAATATTTCAATATGTTCAATTAACATTTAGTTGAACGATTTAGTTTAGTTAACCAATTTTTTCTCAGTGTGCGCGACTTGTTATGTGGCTTCCAATCAAATCATAGTTAGGTCTAAGACATGACAATTATTAAAATAAATAAATAAGCTCAATTGTGGATATTTTTTGCAATTTTTAATTTTTTATTCACTAGTAAATTATATTTGCTTTAACTTTTTTTATAGCTTATAACCATGTTTCACATCTTTATGTGAATAATGTACTTTAGTATGTTGAAAAACAATAAAATAATTTATCTGGAGAATCACAATAATTTTTTTTGTAATTTACTACACGACAATATAATTCTGCTTTTTTTTAATTGTTTATATATATATTTTCCATTTTTCCAATTTATTAAAAGGTTAGTGCATTTTTAGACTAACTCCACAAACTAATTTACTATATAAGCGCCTAAATTGTTTCGCGAATTCTCTCCACATTCATGCACAAAGCGAATACTTCGTATCTGTGATAAAAGAATTGATAAAAATAGTACAAAACGATTGCATCGTTTTAATCGTAATTTCATAATTACTGATTACGATAATTTTCTCAATAAATTACAACAAAACGATAAAAACAATATATCTTGTGTGTTAGAATATAACTTGACTCCGTATATTTTTATTATAATGACAGTGATGAATAATTATTTTTTTAATTGATGCGTTGAAGAAGGTTGAAAAAGACAAACAAAACGTACGAATTTACTTCTGTATAATATTTAATATTTTATGTTATAAATCTTTTCACAAATATATTTCTAGTATAGAACTTAATTAGCTCTTATTGCCTTTTTATTTGTAGATTAAAAACAATATATTATTATAAGAATTTTATTGTATTCTAACAACTAAATCTGATTGATAACAGAAAATGAAAGAAAACGATAAGAAACCATAATATTTTTTCGAAATATAAAAAGTTAATCAATAGGTTACAATAGGAAACGATAAAATTTTTACAAATTCTATTGATTTCTAATGTTTTCTATCGATTTTTTTCAGGGATGTTAAATACTCAGTAACGTGATTGTTAATAATGGACAAATTCACATAAATGAAGCAAAACAATGAATAGTTTTAGTTTTTATAAATTTAACAAGATCTACTTTTAACTAAACTGAAATATTAAATGAAAAAATAGATATTTATTTCGCACTTTTAAATTCTCTTACTCATTTGTTTTTTTTTGTTTTATTATTATAACGACTTTTATTTATCACATATCTGCGACATAAGTTTCTAACTAATCGCACATGTACATATTTTTATTGAGCATTTCAATGTGACAGACTTTCAATTTATATTCATCAATAGGATACCTCATCTATCAAGATGATCAGTATTAACGATTACGTGTCATCAAACAACGAATCTGTCCAAAAATATTCCGGCAGCGCGACTGTGAGAAATGAGTTGGTAAGATTTAACTTTCAAACATACCTACATTGCCAAAATCTATTGATTAGCATCATGAAATTTATGCCTCATGAAATATTGTTGTAATTCGATTTTATTTCTATAAAATCGAATTATAACAATATTTTTGCAGAAATAATTTACTTTTATACAAATTCAAGCTAATTATATACATATAAAGAAATAATCTTCTAGCAGAGAAGAATATATAAATAAATATGAATATAAATACTATTTGATAAAATAGATGAAGAGAGGGGGAGGGGGAGGCAAGCATTGTAATCGAAACAATCTATGATAAATATCAAATAAATACCATTATTTAATAAATTATTTTGCTAGTTATGTTGTTTCTTAATAGTCGCAAATTTTATATATTTTTAAATTTTAAATTGATGCAAATTTTGAGAAACAATGTACACTCTGTAATTGTAAAATAACTTCTATTTACTATAAAATATTTGTTTCATATTTAAAATTTAAGAAATCAAAGTTTAAAGTTTTAAGAAAGAATTAATTTTCCGTTAATTAAATGTGCGCAGAGCACAAATCTTTCTTATAATAATAAGAAATTAAATGAGTCGTTTCTTATTAACCCAGATAGCCACAGTAATTATTATGACATCATTTTGATGTCATAATAATTACTGTGGCTATCTGGGAACTGACACTCTACCATTCGCGTTCGAGCTCTTAAAATCCGAAACTTTAATATAATTTTCATATTGAAAGTAAAATACTAAAGTCTGAGGTATATTTGTTTTTTAATTTTTTATAAAAATAGTATCTTATGTGGCAAGTACGGAAAGCAACGAATTACATCGCGCGTGAACTTGCCGCATGAGCCGAAGCCTTATGATGCAATTACACGAGTACAAGTGTGAATGCATCATAAGTTGAGGCGAATGCGGCAACTTTACGCGCGATGTATTCGTTGTCCTCCGCACATGCCACATACAATATTTTTTGTATTACACGTACAAAGTGGCACTTTGTGTGCGTGTTTTTTGTGCGGAAAGCGGCCGATTTCCCACGCCGCCATCTAGCGGCTACGCGGTGAGTGAATAAGCCGCATTCAAAGCCATTGCCTACGGCTGAACCGCGTTCAATTCCCGCATCGTGCCGTCGCAAGATGGCGGCGTACGATCGGCCACCTCGCGCACAGAAAACGCGCACAAAGCCACTTTGCCTGCACTTGTAATACAAAATATCGTGTGTGTCAAGTGCGGAAAGTTGACAATTGGTCACAAGTGCGGGGGATGGACGCACGAGTCAAAGGCGATCGGCCACTTTTCGCACTTGATACACAATATACTATTGTAATGCCTATCGCGAAAGTTCAATATGAGATTAAAAAATTAATTCATAAATATAAAAAGAAAATTCCTAAATATATACCATTAAAACATTTTCCAAAAATGAGGTTGTATTTCTTTATGTTCCCCATTCCAAAAATTTTTCATAAATGCTCATGCATTTATCTCTCAATTTTTTCAATAATAGTCTTCGTGGCAGATTCAGCTGCTTTTATAAGTTCTAGCGACGTGGATTGACGTTTTGTCTCGCGTGAATTTTGTTACGTTCAAGTTTGTTATGTCAGTCGAGAAATAATAAAACAAAAACTATCAATCAATTAACCATTAAGAAAGAAGGTTTTTTACGCACTAGTGAAGTAAATCATAAAGGTGCTTTTCTCGCACTAGTATGGTAAAGTAAAACATACATTGAATTGTTGAGAAATAAGCCATTTTCCGCACGCTAAACAGCAATCGAAAATCGAACTTTCACGACAGGCATTGTAAAAAATATTAATTTTTGGTCAGAAATATTGTCAGTAATTGGTCAGAATTTGATCAGTAATTATGTTTTAAAGTCTTGAAAGCACAAACACACTAGTTTATTTTATTATATTATTTTGAAAATTTTAATACGTTAATTTTTATAATTAGTAAAATTTATATATGTATATTATTTTTACTTAGAATTACCTATTATATATCAGAGCTTATTTTATCTATTATCATATATTATTTTTTGTTGCCAACAAATTACTTTATTTTATCTTTTGTAATTAGTAAAATCAGAATTTAATTATTATACTTATACAGGGTGTTTCAGAAAAAATGTTGAGCATTCTAGGATTTGATTGCGTACACATTATTTTAAGCAAAAATTTATATTAAATGTATGTTCTATTCTGTACGGTTATAAAGATACAACGTGTTCAAGTTTAAGAATAAATATCAGCTTACAATTAGTAGAACCAAATGTTATGAAATAATTATATTAAATATTCGTCGTTTTCAGTTACTATGGTTACAAATATAAATATTACGTCACGTTTGAAAAGTGTGTTAGTTTAATATTTTTGATTTTTGGTATAATTAAAATGGCTCATATATATATTTTTTTAAATTCCTAGAGAGATTTACATATATTCATTCTTGTATATAAATATGTATATGATTATAAATTATGTATGGTTCTGATTTATTTGAAGTATTTCAAGGAAAATACAACAATATTCTCAAAAGACGGTCCAAGAGAACCAACATGTTCTAGGGCATTCGTAGAATTTGGCGACAAACTAAACAGGAAAGAAATATTTGTGACATTCAGGTGAGACTCTAAATTTTTAATTTATATTTTTTCATCCTTTAAGTTCAACTCATACACACGCACACATTATAATAAAATTGTGTTTATATATAAGAATTCTTGAACATTGTTAGGTAAAATAAAATTAAGGTTTTTATCTAGATTGATAACAAATTAAAATGTAATTGAGAGAAATATAGAGTTTAATATAAAAGTGAGAAATCGATTATACGAAAGGCGAACAAGAACTCTGTCGAACACATTTCACCGAATTTATTTACTTTTGCGCTGAAATCAAATTTGTATCAAATTTTTGATTATTTATTTATCTGATCTCATATGTCTAATCATAAATATCGGTCATAAATCTTTGCTTTGAACTAATTTCGTCAAATTAATTATTATTTAATTATATTTGCTTTCTCTTTTTTTATAAAACATAAGTATCTTTACTTTAAGTAAATAAACATTAATATACATATTTAAAATAAACACGTTACAACATATATATTTACATATATTAGGTTGTTCGGAAAGTTCGTTTCATTATAAATTTGAATGTATTATTTTACACAAAAAGGAACTTTATTTAAGCAAATATGTACCGTTTTGTTTAACCATCTTGGCTCATCTTTCCGAAAGTAACATGACGCCAAAGTAACATGACGCCTTCCAAAAGGTTTTTTACTAACAAAGAATTGATCAAGATGATTTTTGAGGATTTCGAATGACTCGAATTTCCTGTCTTGAAGAAAATTTTCAAAGAAAGAAATAGGTAGTAGTCAGATGGGACAAGATCGAGGGAATATGGAGGATGAGGAAAAACGTCCCATTTTACGTTTAATATAGTTTCCTACGGATAGACATGACGACGTGAAGTCTGGCATTATTATGGTGGAAGACAACTCCACTCATTGTCAGTTCAGAGTGCTTTCGTACGATGGCAGTTTTCAATTCGTCCAGCTGAAGTCTATACTATCTATGTGAAGTTAGCTGATAAGCAGAAAATCGTCTTTAGTGCTCTCGCATTTACTGATTACGTAGAAATGCGTTGAAACAAACTTTCCGAACAACCTAATATATAATTAAATGTGTTTCTTTGTCAAGAATTTGCTAAAATTAAAATATTTAAGATATGTCATTTTTTTTATAGATGGAACAAACCTGAATTGACAATTGGAGAGATACAAAAATATAGGATACAATATTTTGAAGACCTGAATCAAACGATTACAATTGTCGATATTTTCCCATTGCCAAATAGAACATTACAATACAAAGCATACGATTTAGAACCTGATACAATCTACTACTTCAATGTACAAGCGCATAATGAATTTGGTGCTGGTCCTTACACTAAGTTCATTAATGTGTCAACCACACATGACAATCCAGTACCTCTATTACTCGTTACTGGATTGAATACAAATGATATGACTATATTGGATATGGATTTACAGATCGGTTTCGAAATTGATACATCCATTAAGTATGAGGAAATAATTTACTCGGCATTGGAAGATAAGATTTATGGAATTACAGGGAATGGAGAACTAATAGTATCAGACTTTAATCGAAGAGCAATTCAAACAAATTTAAAATACACAAACATAACAAACATAGATGGTTTTCCGGAGAATCTTTGCATCGATTGGATTTATAGAAATCTTTATTGGGCAGAATATAATGAGGCCCAAGTCTATATTAAGAAATTAGATTTAACATTATGGCAACAAATGGATAAACACGATAAAATATCTATTCCTATACCTTCAAAAATAAGCGCAGCTTATATAAAAGCACATCCATATGCTGGGTACATTAAATCAAATCAATTTAAATAAATTAATAATTTTATCTGTTTGAATTAAAGATTTGTTCTATAACTCTATAATAATTTAATCTGCAGATTTTATTAAAAAACATAAGTTATGGAATCAAATTCATGCAGAATTGTATATAAAAATTAAAATATTATACTTGCTTCGATTACAGTAACAATTATGTTTAAAAATAATGAATAATATTCATATTTTTCAGATATTTGTTTTGGTTAAATTTATATTCGGATGAGAATACAAGTATGATATGCAATCGGATATAAATGGAGATAATATAAAATCTCTTTGGGATAATAAAAATGTTTTTGCCAATATAATCTAAAAGAATCACGCTTTGTGGAAGTTGTTATTTCGAATGTTGAGCCACTATTATATTGATTTTGAAAGAACGCATAATCGTAACAGATATTAATGGTTGTAAATGTACATTGATTTTGAACATTAAAGATATACACGGGTTAACGATTGATAATATGAATATTTTTCTACACTTTTTTCGGCGAAATCTATAAAGAAAGAGTACGCTCTACTCGAAAGCAAAACAAAACATAATAAAAAGTGTTGATAAATATAAGCTACGTTCTTTTCGATAAACAGCTCTCTGAAAATCTCTACAATTTATCCGACGATATGTTTGACCCCTAACATGATAGATTATCGTGTTGAAGTATTAACATATTCAGACGCGAATTTGATCAGTAATTATGTTTTAAAGTCTTGAAAGCACAAACACACTAGTTTATTTTATTATATTATTTTGAAAATTTAATACGTTAATTTTATAATTAGTAAAATTTATATATGTATATTATTTTTACTTAGAATTACCTATTATATATCAGAGCTTATTTTATCTATTATCATATATTATTTTTTGTGCCAACAAATTACTTTATTTTATCTTTTGTAATTAGTAAATCAGAATTTAATTATTATACTTATACAGGGTGTTTCAGAAAAAATGTTGAGCATTCTAGGATTTGATTGCGTACACATTATTTTAAGCAAAAAATTTATATTAAATGTATGTTCTATTCTGTACGGTTATAAAGATACAACGTGTTCAAGTTTAAGAATAAATATCAGCTTACAATTAGTAGAACCAAATGTTATGAAATATATATTAAATATTCGTCGTTTTCAGTTACTATGGTTACAAATATAAATATTACGTCACGTTTGAAAAGTGTGTTAGTTTATATTTTTGATTTTTGGTATAATAAAATGGCTCATATATATTTTTTTTAAATTCCTAGAGAGATTTACATATATTCATTCTTGTATATAAATATGTATATGATTATAAATTATGTATGGTTCTGATTTATTTGAAGTATTCAAGAAAATACAACAATATTCTCAAAAGACGGTCCAAGAGAACCAACATGTTCTAGGGCATTCGTAGAATTTGGCGACAAACTAAACAGGAAAGAAATATTTGTGACATTCAGGTGAGACTCTAAATTTTTAATTTATATTTTTTCATCCTTTAAGTTCAACTCATACACACGCACACATTATAATAAAATTGTGTTTATATATAAGAATTCTTGAACATTGTTAGGTAAAATAAAATTAGGTTTTTATCTAGATTGATAACAAATTAAAATGTAATTGAGAGAAATATAGAGTTTAATATAAAAGTGAGAAATCGATTATACGAAAGGCGAACAAGAACTCTGTCGAACACATTTCACCGAATTATTTACTTTTGCGCTGAAATCAAATTTGTATCAAATTTTTGATTATTTATTATCTGATCTCATATGTCTAATCATAAATATCGGTCATAAATCTTGCTTTGAACTAATTTCGTCAAATTAATTATTATTTAATTATATTTGCTTTCTCTTTTTTTATAAAACATAAGTATCTTTACTTTAAGTAAATAAACATTAATATACATATTTAAAATAAACACGTTACAACATATATATTTACATATATTAGGTTGTTCGGAAAGTTCGTTTCATTATAAATTTGAATGTATTATTTTACACAAAAGGAACTTTATTTAAGCAATATGTACCGTTTTGTTTAACCATCTTGGCTCATCTTCCAAAGTAACATGACGCCAAAGTAACATGACGCCTTCCAAAGGTTTTTTACTAACAAAGAATTGATCAAGATGATTTTTGAGGATTTCGAATGACTCGAATTTCCTGTCTTGAAGAAAATTTTTCAAAAGAAATAGGTAGTAGTCAGATGGGACAAGATCGAGGGAATATGGAGGATGAGGAAAACGTCCCATTTTACGTTTAATATAGTTTCCTACGGATAGACATGACGACGTGAAGTCTGGCATTATTATGGTGGAAGACAACTCCACTCATTGTCAGTTCAGAGTGCTTTCGTACGATGGCAGTTTTCAATTCGTCCAGCTGAAGTCTATACTATCTATGTGAAGTTAGCTGATAAGCAGAAAATCGTCTTTAGTGCTCTCGCATTTACTGATTACGTAGAAATGCGTTGAAACAAACTTTCCGAACAACCTAATATATAATTAAATGTGTTTCTTGTCAAGAATTTGCTAAAATTAAAATATTTAAGATATGTCATTTTTTTTATAGATGGAACAAACCTGAATGACAATTGGAGAGATACAAAAATATAGGATACAATATTTTGAAGACCTGAATCAAACGATTACAATTGTCGATATTTTTCCCATTGCAAATAGAACATTACATACAAAGCATACGATTTAGAACCTGATACAATCTACTACTTCAATGTACAAGCGCATAATGAATTTGGTGCTGGTCCTTACACTAAGTTCATTAATGTGTCAACCACACATGACAATCCAGTACCTCTATTACTCGTTACTGGATTGAATACAAATGATATGACTATATTGGATATGGATTTACAGATCGGTTTCGAAATTGATACATCCATTAAGTATGAGGAAATAATTTACTCGGCATTGGAAGATAAGATTTATGGAATTACAGGGAATGGAGAACTAATAGTATCAGACTTTAATCGAAGAGCAATTCAAACAATTTAAAATACACAAACATAACAAACATAGATGGTTTTCCGGAGAATCTTGCATCGATTGGATTTATAGAAATCTTTATTGGGCAGAATATAATGAGGCCCAAGTCTATATTAAGAAATTAGATTTAACATTATGGCAACAAATGGATAAACACGATAAAATATCTATTCCTATACCTTCAAAAATAAGCGCAGCTTATATAAAAGCACATCCATATGCTGGGTACATTAAATCAAATCAATTTAAATAAATTAATAATTTTATCTGTTTGAATTAAAGATTTGTTCTATAACTCTATAATAATTTAATCTGCAGATTTTATATTAAAACATAAGTTATGGATCAAATTCATGCAGAATTGTATATAAATTAAATATTTATACTTGCTTCTGATTATACAGTAACAATTATGTTTTAAAAATAATGAATAATATTCATATTTTTCAGATATTTGTTTTGGTTAAATTTATATTCGGATGAGAATACAAGTATGATAATGCAATCGGATATAAATGGAGATAATATAAAATCTCTTTGGGATAATACAAAATGTTTTTGCCAATATAATCTAAAAGAATCACGCTTTGTGGAAGTTGTTATTTCGAATGTTGAGCCACTATTATATTGGTATTGAAAGAACGCATAATCGTAACAGATATTAATGGTTGTAAATGTACATTGATTTTGAACATTAAAGATATACACGGGTAACGATTGATAATATGAATATTTACTTCTACACTTTTTCGGCGAAATCTATATTTTGAAGAAAGAGTACGCTCTACTCGAAAGCAAACAAACACAATAAAAGTGCTGAAAAAATAAATATAAAAGCTAGCCGTTCTTTTCGATTAACAGCTCTTGATAAATCTCTACAATTATATCCGACGATATGTTTGACCCCTAACATGATAGATTATCGTGTTGAGTATTAACATATTCAGACGCGAACAATATCGAGGTGAGCCTTCCGAAGTGATTTTAAATGATGGCTGCGAAAAGTACAACTTAAGCACCATAATATATAACATCTCCGTGAGTTATTTCACATGTTTGTATAATGGCAGTAAAAAGTTAAAGCAATTTAACGTGCTGACGCATGAACGGAGGTACATAATCCCGAATCTAACGCCAAACACGACCTATACGCTAAATCTGGCACTCAACAGTTTTTATATCGACAAATTGTCAATGGGATTGCAATTCGGCTCAGATGTGAATGGACGACTGAGCTAGGCAAGTTGAATGCTCCAGAAGATGTGACGGTTCAAGTTCTAACACCTACTTTGGCAATAGTCCATTGGATGCCACCCAAAAAATTACATTGCGTAACGGTGATCTACCAGATAAAATATGAGGAATATTTAAATGGAACGCAAGAAAAAAATAATGTTTCCTTATTATCGGTAACTGTGCCTAAGCCCGAGCCTATGGTAGATGGAAAGTTTTTCTGGAGAATACAAGGCATGCAGCCAAATATGAATACAAATATTCGTGATTGTAGCTCCACACACCATTACGGCAAGCGGTTTTGAATATAACATATTGGCAATTATACAATAACAGTTTTCCTGAAACGGTCTACATGTCGGAACCGAATAATTTAACATTGAACGATGTCAGTACAAATAGTATGAATATCTCGTGGATTTCAAGCGTTAATCTGATAATCCACCCTGAATTTGTGTTATATTGGAGTACAAAAATGATGCAATACAGAAATGGCAAATCGCGAATAACACTGAAATAAGTAATAATAAAATGACATATTATATAGAAAATTTATGGCCGCAAACTCTATACCAATTCCGTTTGATTTTGAGATATCCCAAGTACATGAACGAAAACTTTATATGGTCACCTGATGTAGGATTTACATTCAAAACGCTAGGTAAGTAAATAAAAATAAAAATTATATCATATGATTACTTTAAAGTATCTCTTCAAAAATATTTTAAATTAGAAATTAAATAACGAAATTTTAAGTAAAGTTTTAAAGAAATTTAAGTTGTATTTTTGTGTTAACAGAATCTATCGAAGTTTCAACTATGCAAAACCTAACATATTTATACAATTATCTGCCATTAATATTAAGTGTTGCCGCTACCGTCGTAATCTATTACATTTACTACTTATATTGTTGTAAGTATATTATTTATAAAGGAGAATGTCCAAATAGTGCGATTTTTTGACCTCGAGCGGAAAGTAAAATTCGAGTTGTTTTAGGTCTCATACATCTGGAATAATGTAAAAACCATAGTGGTTTTTCCTAGAAATGCAGGGAATATTTAAATATCATCATATGTTTAGAGAAAATTACGTAAATCAATATCTCGCAATAAATCGAGATTGCTTGATGTTTCAGTCGAATATTTTGGTAAATATTTTGGTAACACCAACTTTCTAAGATCATTTAGACCGATTTTAATGTCAGTCAATAATAAATTGAATAATATATATATACAGGGTGTCTAACGTCCGACCCGGGCTCTTTATCTTGGAAACGACTTGAGATACGAAAAAATGTTTCAAACAAAAGTTGTAGGGTTTCAAGGGGAACATAAGATCGTGCCATTGATTTGACCTTGAATAGTCATGTGAAGGTCACTTTCAATTTATTAAATAAAACTACCTATTTTTTATTACATATTCTTGTATGTTATTTCAAAAGCTTTACAAAAAAATGTAATATTCAATATGCAGTTGCATACTTTTTTTTATAAATAATTATGTTTTTTTACACCAACTGATTGGTCTCGTTATTCCATACAAAACAGTAATAAGGTACGATTACCAAAAACCGAATATTTTACAAGATATTTTTATATTTTATGTCAAAAAATTGTTAACTTCAAACTTTATAACTCAACAAGAACTCCATGAAAACATATTTTAGTATAGGGTTTTGTAAAGCTTTTGAATAACATATAAGAATATGTAATGAAAATAGGTATCCCATTAAAGAAATTAAAGGTGACTTTCACGTGACCTTCAAATGACTATTTAAGGTCAATCAATGGCACGATCTTATGTCCCTCTCAAAATCCACAACTTTTTGTTTAAACTTTTTTCGTATCTTAAATCGTTCCAAATAAAGAGCCCAATTCGGCTTTAAGAAAATCCTGTATAAATATATCCTAAAAAAATCATAAAATGAAAAGGTCAGGCCATGTTCAAAAGAAGGTACTCAAAAATTTAAACGATCTAATAATAAATTATCACGAAAAGTAACTGATATGTTATTCAAGGTGCCAGTTCAAAGTGAACATACGTAAAGTGTATATTATCTAAATTTAGTAATAATATATTACCATGAAAAGTAACTGTGATATTTTTATTCAAGGTGCAAGTTCACATTGAATATACATACATATAAGTAAAACTGATTACAATTTGATTCTAGAAAATAAGTGCGATATGTTATTCTTAGTGCACAAAATATAATAGTCGTTTATAGAGATTTGATTTGAAATTCATACTAGCCCGTACAATGAAAAATAATTGCTCGTAATTCCAGAGTACCAATTTGTTAATGACTCAGAAAAATAACATGGCGGCCTGCTCTCAAAAAACTATGATGTTTCTCGATGTCCATTTAGAAATAATGTCGAAGCTCTTACAGAATAATTACTACAACATTTGAAGTACGAAAAGTATTACATTAGAAGAAGATTAGATTAGAATAAGGATTCAACGTATTTTTAAAAGCTCTACACACAACAAAGTGAATATACAAAACTATATACAAATACCTTTTTCTTCTGTGTTTCTGAAGAAAATTGTAAGTCAAATGAAACCTTGCACTTTGAGAATCATGTCACTTACTTTTCAGAGTCAAATTGATAAATTTTTTTTGTATATTTTAATGATATTTATTTCTCACTTGTATCTTGAATAATTATATGTAATTTTTTATTGTATATTACGACAAATAATCAGTAAACTTTTTAAGCGTATAGCTTTATTGTAGTTGACCTGAGAACTGTACATTTATAAATTTTACTTAATATACACCCGTTTCGAGCAACAAGGCAAAGTTTTCTGATCAATAACTTACTCCCTGAAAATACGGTATAACACAAATCGGAAGTTGATACGAAAATTCGAAATTTTACTAAAGAAAGATTGGAGGTTTTTAATTTATACAATTTTCACAACTCTTATTTCAATTATTTATTCTACTCATCGAAAGTTTTTTGAGAGCAGGCCGCCATGTTATTTTTCTGAGTCATTAACAAATTGGTACTCTGGAATTACAAGCAATTATTTTTCATTGTACGGGCTAGTATGAATTTCAAATCAAATCTCTATAAACGACTATTATATTTTGTGCACTAAGAATAACATATCGCACTTATTTTCTGGAATCAAATTGTAATCAGTTTTACTTATATGTATGTATATTCAATGTGAACTTGCACCTTGAATAAAATATCACAGTTACTTTTCATGGTAATATATTATTACTAAATTTAGATAATATACACTTTACGTATGTTCACTTTGAACTGGCACCTTGAATAACATATCAGTTACTTTTCGTGATAATTTATTATTAGATCGTTTAAATTTTTGAGTACCTTCTTTTGAACATGGCCTGACCTTTTCATTTTTATGATTTTTTTAGGATATCAGTTACTTTTTAAAGTACAGATATATAGAACAGCTTTCTAGTAATTCAAGTATCACAAATATATGTATTTTCGATTCTTATCACATAACTTTGTATAAGTAACAATTTATGCAATATAGTTCAAAATAATTGAAATATATGGTATAAATGTACATATATAAAATATATAATTATATTATAGTATACATATATATATATTTTATTTAATCATATATGTAAATGTTTGTATAATTGTAATAACTTTTAACGATACATTGCACATTTATTTCAATTGCAAC